CCAGTCCAACCTCAACTGTGAATAATTATAGCGTAAGGGAGCAGTGCTGAGTTCCAAATACAAAACGTAACTGATAATTTTGCAGTCGTCAGTCATCATTCTATTTATAAGTTCCACCAATGGTTGTAAAATTTTAAAGATGCACATGCTGAGTTCTTGTTCTGCTCAACAAACGGAAGTTAAAGCATCGAAGAAAAGTCAACTATATAACTTAAGACAGGTCACGCTCAAATGCACTAACTATGAAAGATACACGCTCCGTTTAATTTACTTGACGCGCAAGTTTCACACATGTACGGATGCGTTCGATCCAATCAAATCCTTAAGGGCGGGAGAATAACTAGCAAGGTCCCAATTTACTGTGCAGCGTAATTTCGGAAAATTAAATACAGTTCAGCTATTTTTGTCAACGCTCCGATTTTCGCGCGAAGCATTTGCGTGACTTCTCAGTTGTGACTTCGACTTCAGGAAGTTTAGCGACGGTTAACATGGTTCAAAACTACATTATAGTAATTTTTTATCAGTCAGTAGAGATATATATATGTTTACAAAGGCAATGCTATTAATAAATGTTATGTGCTAAACGGGAAGCTGCATGATATTCCTTACTTGAACGGCAGGTATAATCCAGCTTCTATTTGATAAAGATTAAACTTGAAGCTGTTTCAGTCTTTCTTCTTACGTACTAATTCGCCTTCTTTTATTCAGTATCCATCCAGTATAATCCAATATGAAATAACGTTTACAATTGGAGACTAACACAAATGTACCGATGTCTCTCAGGAAGAGAATCAATCAGAATTTGCTCTGAGCATTCAAACTCGGTTTTACCACAAAATAAATTGCACATCTCCTTTCGATTTGAATTAAACAAATCTCTTCTACACAACATTCCTCAGTCCTCGAAGAAGCAGAAATAAAAAAAACACGCGGAAAACACTTTTCTTCTTTCCTTACCTAAACTGAGAGAAAATAGATAGGAAATGGTCTTAAGACTTGTTTACGCTCTCAGTTCTTTTGTACAGAAGATAGCAGCAGGTTTGTGTAATTTTGTATGTAAGTTCAACGAACATGTCACCAGGAATTTGCTGTGATGATGAAAGTAATTCATATAACTCATAGATATGCTTACTGTGCGTAATATACATCTCTTTCCTCCCAACAATGCAAGTAAAACTCCAACAGGGATTGACTTATTGTCAAGAAAACCCCAAAACTGTTGCTATTTCCATTTCGATCCGTTTAGGAATGTAATAATGCGATTGATAAAAAAATTGACTCACTTAACTTTGGCGTTCATCGTGTTCTTCAGGGTATTTTGCACTGGTAATGACCTCAATATTTTGGGGTTCTTCATTTCTAATAGGATTTTGCCTCGTCGCTGATAGAGTCTGTTGTTGAATATTCCCTTGCTGCTGTCGAAGCTGAACAGCTGTGAAAAACAGTTTCATGTAATACAGGATCCAAAGAAGAAACATCAAACATGCTAAGCTGAAACACTCTTGAGAGAAAAGCATGGCTCTCAGAACAGTTGAACAACAGGAGGAAAGAAACCTGCACGAAATTGTCTGAATGGACTGTCTTTGTGCGGCTCCTCCGATGGTTAGATGAATCATCACGTGTACAGCCTTATTTGAATAACACGAAGCCACTCTTGACAATTCAAGTCACGTCATTGTGAAATAGACTGTGACCACTTAAGTTAACACGGTGCCACTTCAAGTACACAGGTTCAACTCATGTCTCTTTCCGTCCACGGCCTAAATTCTCGTTGAAATATTTTATGGGGTCACAGAACAGAACTGTGCTAGAGAAATGTGCGGCGACTTCTGATAATTATATGAATCGTCACGAGTACAGCCATGTTTCTTAACACCAGTCTATTAGTAAACAAAGAGGCGGAGTCACGACATAGTGAAACGGACTGCAACGGAGTTTAATACAGATTCCACTTATGGGTCCTTTCATAAAAAATAACGTCCCTTTGCGGTCATGGTCTTAAATACTCGTTGTGGCATCTTATAGGATTATAACCGTGAACTCTGGAGTGGTGAAAATCTCAAATAAAGCTTAAAAAGCTTAGCCAATATCCGGTCCTCATAATGCCGAGCGTTGTCTGATTGATTTAAAATCTTCGTCTCAGTACAATAACAGTGTCAAAGTATTTTCCAATCTTTACCACTTTCGAATTCATCTCAGATTTACAACACAATTGCTGGCTCAATTTAGAGTTTTTGAGCGGATGAAAATTAAACGTGAATTAAGTGTAAAACAGTGGCAATTAACATCGACGCCTTGGCACGCTGATGGCCTGCTGGGCGTCTGCAGCGTCCATTAACTTAGTGAAGCGTTAATTTGAATATCCCAGCCCAATGCAAGTCAAAGGCCAAAAATATCCCCCCGGGAAGTAAAAGTTGGCACTGATAAGAAACGAATTACGTAAGGAAACCAAAATTTCAACCTCATACAAACTTAAACAGGAAATCGTTAAATTATCGTCAAAACCTCAGAAAAACTTAAACAGGAAGTCTTTAAAATATCGTCAAAACCACAGAAAAACTGAAAGAGGAATTCTCAAAAATATCCTAAAAATTTCAGAAAAACTGAAAAAGAAAATCTCAAAAATACGCTAAAAACCTAAGAAAAACTGAAACAAGTAATTTAACTAAAGAAAGAAAATGACCGGTATGTGAGAGGAAGTGTTCTTTAATAACAGTAATTCATGGCAATTAATGAGGAAAACAAGCTCAAATGAAAGTGTTTTTTTACTGTCTGTCTCTTCGATACATAGTTAAAAAAAAAGTTAGAAAAAGTCTCCCTCTACGCAACTCTGGCGTTCATCATTTTCTAAGGATATTTTCAGTTTGGTGGAACTGTGTAATTTTTGATCCCTCGTTTTCTTCTCCCTTTTCTTCCAGTACTAGCCGGTCTGCAATCATGCTCTGTCTATTTTAATCAAGACACTTAGGATTATCGATCCACAACACGGTGACAAATAAGGCTGAAAATCCTTGAATTCACTGTACCCATGGCTGTTTGTCGAATTTCCTTGAAACTGGTCGGCAGAGACGAAAGAAGCCGTATAATTGGTGGTTCGGTCTCTTAAGTAGAGTTTCAGCAAGAACTAAAATCGGGTTTCTCCTTATCTGGTAAACTTTTATTCCCCAGGAAGGAAATATGGAACCATATCGCTATGGCAAGTAACGTTACGAAACCATCACAAGCTGTTAATAAAAACTGTTTAGTAATACAACTTGGAGAGTAACTCAGATCTTCTGGCCATTTAATTCATATCAATGCTATTTAATTTGCAATGTGATACCAGAGAAGCCCAAAAACTAGAAAATTCTCGAGCTACAGTAATCATGATTGTCCAAGGAATTTCCTGGCGAGAGGACGCAAGCACTTGTATTTCAGGAGCGACGTTTATTCGGCAAAGTGAAAGTAGCACGCACTAACAACCAAAGGCTTACAAATGCCTCGTGGAGTGTTTGAAGAAAAACTGAAGACTTTTTCTTCCCCGTTTATTTCTGTGTAACCTGAACTGAGAGAGGAAGGATTTGAGTTTGTTATTCTGGGTTTCCTGAACCCAGATGTCGCGGATCAGAGTAGTTTCGCAAACATTTCTAGTCACGTAGAAATTTTGTGAAATGTCTGAGATGATTGTTGTAATTCCTCCGAAAAACCTCTACGTTCGTGACGTAATAGTCGTAATAATCTACAAAAAAGTGAATTTTTAACCTCCGCCGACTGCTCAAAATAGTTACGATTGCTTAAGTGATAGTACAAAGGTAGAAGCTGTTAGGAAGTTAGGGAGAGCCAGACTGCAAGGGAACGGGATCGCAAAAGAAGACTAATGGACGAAGACCAGGATTGAGAAGAAACAGCTTAAGATTTTAAAGATTAACCACAAGTGCTGCGCTCCTCTTGTGTAGAGCGACATTGATCAAGCCTTTTTGTAGCAAGTCCTAACAGGAGTAAGACATTTAGCTCTATGCACAGAACTAATACTTTTTGTTTGAAAGCCTCCTCGCTTATTTGGAGACGGTATGCCAGTGTAAAGTGCTATGTACTTTTGAACTGATTTTTAAAGCTCCCTCGGCATTTGGTCGCAGAATGTCATTAATAAAGGGCACAGATCAAAGTAATTGTTCCTTGTCATATTATTAGTACCTTCATTTTGTTTTTGCCTTTCCTTGTTCTCTGGGTTTTATTTTTCAGCAAATTTCCTTATTTTCAGCCGAACTTAATGTTTGGTGGTTTTTCAGCAAGTCCATTCTCTAACATGTTAGCTTTTTAAGCTTTTATGTATGCACAATACCCCAGAAAGAGATTTAAAATGTAACTTCTTCCAACTGTAGTCAAACGTTATCAAGCAAACAGGTAGCGAGAATACTCAAACTATCAGGTGAAAGTTGTTATCTTGATCTAACACCAAATTCTGGAAACTTATTCAGCAAGAGATGTGTGAAGTTAGAGGGGAGAATTAATAATCAGTTCTTGGGAGTTAAAGGGTTATCAGTCGGCACTTGTGCTCGACTGATGAGCCAATAAGAATTTAGTCTTAACTCGTTCATTTTCAGTATCAAGTTAGCTTGGAAAATCCTTGATCAGTGTGGTGTCTCGCTGAAAGCATGCTGTGAGTTTTTTTTACAATATCATTTCATATATAGATAAAATGTTTTGAATATCAAAATCTCTTTCCCAGATTACAGTAAATTGCACGTGGCGCCACATTAGCAATTTCTCTTAATTTCCAACTACTCGACGTCTCTCCCTCGGCAACACTGTCAAATAAGTTCCTAATACTTTAATCTGGCACCGCAGCGGCGCTTAAGGAAAACAGCTATGATTAAAGTTTTGCAAGAGGAAGAATTCCAGCCGCACAACAAACTTCATCTGCCGCGCGTGTCCCAGTTTCAATCGCAGTAGGTACAGTCGAACATGACCTTGAACTAGTGGCTTCACCCGCAAAGAACAAGCGATCGTCAACAGGGCTCTCAGGATACAGGATACCCAAATATCTCATCCAGATGACCCAAAAATCCTCTCAACACTTCCTGTCCGCTGAGATACCGTTTCTCTTCCGCGGGCTCGGCAGTTTCAAACCCGACAACCACGTGACATTTTTCGTCACTGTCGGGACAATCATGTGAGCAAGTCCATATCTCACTAGCGAACCCACGAACGCTGTAAATTTGATGCAGCTTCTCCGGCCAGAAGCGGCGTTTGAAACGACAAGCGATTTTCCACGCGCCCAGCATCTGTATCGTGCGTATGGCCTTGTTCTTGTCAGCGGGAAGTGCTGGAGTGAAGGTTATGTCGCCATCTTTGAGGACTGTTAGTGGTACGGTAATGATCACGTGCTTGGCGGTCATCTCCTGGCCATGTTGATTTTTCAGAAGAATTCGTCCACTGTTGTTGGATCTCACCCTGTCTCCTGCCCGAAATATATGAATCAAGACATTCTTTCCTCGCCAAATTTTAGTTAGCATTTGAATCCTTAAGCTCTCTTAAAACAAAATCCGAATTCCATCCAAATACAACTTTTTTAGGAGGACAAGGAAAAGGTTTTAAAATGAAAAAAAATTAACCATCGCTGAGAAACAAAGGCTTTGTAATAATCATATAGAGGCACAATAACTGTGCCAACAATTTCAGAAAGAGGTTAGTTGCATGAAACTCTCACGAAAGGACGAAACTCAAATCTAACGAAGGGAAAATGTTACAACCAGGTAACCACAATTCTCTGAATAAACTACTGCTGTAAATCAATTGCGCGCTGACAGATTCCTGAAATAAATAAAAAGTAAAACGAAAGAGCTAACCTTTCCAAACAACTTCCTTAACCTGCCAGTTAAGACGCTTATCCACATCCATACTGTTAGCCAAGTAGTACTTCACCAGCTGTGAGTAAGATTCCGCGAGTCTAAAGGAAAAAGTTTCAATGACAGAGAGCGTCGGTGCCTTGTACCAAAACAACTTCAGGTAAAAAACTCAGTGTATGAAAAATTGACTACGACCCTGGTTTACCTTCAGAATACCACGAATTCTACAGGCAGACATTTTTATCATTTATTAAAATAACCTTGTATTTTTCAAAACAAAATCAGTTCAAAAACTATTTTACCTGCAATCTTCAATTCCCCACTCATATTTGGACTCCATTCTCCTCCGCCCTTCCCGCACTCCATAGTGATCCAAGGATCCTGCAGATATCTTCATCTTCCACCAATCAATTACATCCAACACGTCACGTGACAAGCCTTTCTCTTCAAGTCTCACCTTCACAGAATCAGACAAATATTCCGTTTCCTTTTCTTGATTTCTGTATTTGCTGTTGATCAATTCGGCCCACGCTTCTCGAGCAAGTCTGATTTCCCGTTGATTACTGTTCGTCGAATAGAGTTTTCCTTTGTAGAATAATTTTTCTCCTTCTTCCCCAGCTTCACATTGAGAAGCCTGAAAAAATGACATGTGCGTAAAATTTATCTGAAAGGCTTTTATGCATTAAGATGAAAATCTTCTATTATTAGAATGGCACTCGAAACAATTTTCACCATCATGAGCCTTTCCACGGCAAAAATGTTCTCAGGTGAAAGAAGGAGACTGGCGACTTCAAAAACATTCACCTAACGTATAGTGCACACCTCACTCCATTCCCCCTCAAAACGTGTTCATGAAAGATTATCACTTTAACATCAACTTAGTACTTGTACAACATTTATCCATGCAGATGGGAGGCTCAGCAACAACATACAAGCTTTGAATCTGTTTCACAAGCCAAATTTTTTGTAATTATAACAAATAATAATAGAGAGATTTATTTCAGTGGTGAAAATTAAAAAATATACCTTTTAACTTAATTACGATCAACTTAGTACCTGTACTACATTTATCCATGCAGATGGGTGGCTCAGCAACAACATAGAGGCTTTGAATCTGTTTCACAAGCCGAATTTTTAGTAATTATAACAAATGGTGATAAAGAGATTTACTGTGCAGTGAAAAAAAAAGTCTACCTTTCCACTGAATTACGAGAGGGGTACAAGACTTTACTTACTGGCAGAACAACCCAGCCATTGTCACAAGCAATCTTGTTCACCACAGTGTTAGATCCATGGATAAACTCTCCACCAAGATCAATTGGAGCAAACCCTTCAAATGGCTGAACTTGCTTCACTCTTCCACCTGGGTTAATTCAAAGTATATCCAAGTAAATATTAGTTCCTGATCATGGGGGTAGATGCTCCCTCCCCCCCCCCCACCCCCCCAAATAGCCCTAGAACTGTATCAGATGCAATTATCAAATGATTACAGCAGTTTCATGTCTTTTCTTGGAGGATATTAGTGTCACACTCAGCTGCACCTCATCAATCACTTTTTGTTCTAAGACATTTTGGAGTCATCTATGATCTATTACTGGACGGATGTGTGGCAACATGGAATCTGTAAGTGACATTTTCCACATGTTTTGCCTAAAAAAACCCTGCAAAGATACCTAAAAAGCTCCTCCTCTTCTTCTGGGCAGCAAGCTCTTGTTTTTAGGCTCTTGAGAACTACAACTGCATTTTTATAAACCACTTTTCACATAAGAGCATTTTCATTTGCAATCACTTGATATGATCTTTTCAAAATTGATACCCCTTACCTAGATACCTAAACGTCTCCATACTTTTCTTTACACATTTCATAAGCCCTTCCTTTAAAAAGTGAATGTTACTGCTTCTGAGAGAAGCTGCAAAAATATTTTCTGATTAGTGCTTTTAATATGGAAAATTATAGTTAGCGTTTCAGTTCAGAATAAGACCCTGTGTAATCAAAATTGTTTCTGTAATAGAAGATAAGTTTTAGACTGTAATTCTCGATAAATTAATCAAGACCCACAAACATTGGTAAGCAATAATTTACTTTGTGATTATGTTACTCAGTTCTTATTCAAAGAGAAACTTATCCCTAGTTTTTACCTTTCTTTTTGGTTCTTTTAATTGTCACATGCTTTTTTCCAAAATTGAGATATTGAGATTATTCTTTAAGCTATGATCACATATCACTTAGGTTACTTGTTGATGTTGTGATTTCAGTTGACCGCTTTGATATAAGAATACCCAAAGGAATAGGAAAAGGAAGTGAGGAAGAAAGATCCTATATTCAGGGCTTGGTGTCTGTCGCATGCAAGTTTACTCAACCCAGGAGAAGAAACATTTGCACATCTCCTTTAGACTGACTAAGAGAATTTGTTTAACAATCAAAGCTATTTCCTTTACTCTCATGATCTTAATAAATAATTCAGCAATATAACAGCTAGGAGAAATAAGATGCTGGCCACTCTTAGGGTTTAAAGGGTTAACACTGGTCAGTGACATTCTGGTCCAGAATGAATAAAGAATAAAGGTTGTATAACGCTATTTAATATCACTATCCAAGGTATAAGTGATAGCAAAACATATAGCGTTATCCACTGTATAGAGATTTATCCAAAGGATAGCATTATCCAACCTTCAGACAACCGGGGCCTGGATGATAATTAAAGTATCCATTAACCCTTTAACTCCCAGATCAAATTTATAATTCTCCTTACTGTCAACCATACAATTCTTACAATGTTAGTTCAGAGAATTTAGTATTGAATCAACTAATTATCTGAAAATTGATATTTTTCTTTATTCTCGTCACTTATCTGGTTGACATTGTATTGATATTGTAAAGAGAAATTCTGTCTTGGTCAGTCACGGGAGTTAAGGGGTTAAGCTTTCCTTCACTTCTATTGGTCTTGTACACTTTTAATTAATTTAGTTTTTCACAGTCTGGTTAAAAAAGCTAACTGACACATGTTACAAGGCTTCAACATAACTGCACACAAAGAAAAACAAATAATTATCCAATTCTTTTGGCACTTCTACAAAATTACAGAGCAGTATTGTATTGAGCAGTCACCCTGTATTAAGTGGTCAGTTTTCAAAGTCTTAAAATTGTTACCCCTTGTCACTTCTAGTAAGTGGTCACTCTCTGTTTAACAGTTGCAGTCACTCTTTACAGAGTCCCAACTGTCTTGGTATTGTCCTTATCAACCTTTACTGAACAGTCACTTGAAGTGGAACAACTCAAATAGAACTGAGAAAAATCTTCCACATAACATTAATCCATTTTTATCACCCAAAATCACTGTTTTTGGTATTTTTGAGCAAGTGTATGCACATTTATCTAATTTTATAATACCTATTGTACCTATTCTGTACAACTTGTATTAACCTTGTTTACATGAATACATTGTCCTAGTGAAGATAGCCTATCATGCTAGTAGCATTGCTTCATTTTTTTCCCCAAATTACACTTGTTTTTGACAATTATGTTGCTTTCCCTTCAATTATGTGTTACGGAAAAAAACAAAACAAGTCCAAATTATATATTTATGGTTAAAAAAGCACGATATCTTCTGTATTTTGAGTTATGTACTTAATTCAAGACTAGAGGCGGCGACTAAATGTGTCAAAATGTACGATGTTAGAGAGCATCTTGTTTCCCTTCGACGCCATCATGTTGCTTCTGAAAGTGGGAACTGGGGCAGACGCAATCTTAATAATACTATTACTACACCCTGTTATACTCTCCCACCGACGCAGCACTACAGTTTCTTTAGAAACTTACCCCCTTTACTGAAAATAATCAATCTTAGAGATCGAACAAGTTTTGACTCTGGTAATGTCCCCTTCAAAAAACTAAAAACATACTGCCTATGCTACTAGGGCTAAACCGAAAGGAAGGGGTTACTCTCAGATTACTCTTTGGAAAGAATTATTTGTAGGACACAAAAGATGGCTTGTGTTGAACATGCCGTTTTTTTTTATTTCCACACGGAAATCTACGCATCCAAAGCATTATCTACCTCGGCGGATCTACAGGATCTTTAGAAATCACTAGACTGAATCCCGAAATAAACTGTTTTCCGAGTACGCAGCGAAAATCACGGTTATCTTCGACGCCACTTTGTTTCTTATGAAAGCGGAAACTGGGATTAACGCTTTCTTTTCTTCTGGTGTGCCCAGTCCTTTACACATCGAACGACTCAGTATTGAGGTAACCTCCTTCACCCAGGACATTGCAAAATTAGACTGGACCACGGACTGAACTTGAAAAAAACAAATCTTAGAAACCAAACAAGTCATGACTCTAACAATGTTCCTTCGAAAAAACAAAAAAAATGTGCCGAGTATGCTAGCAGTACTACTTTTAATGAAAAGAGCAAAAATTATGTTCGTTTTTTCCAAATTATAATGCTGGCACCATCTACAAGGGACTACCCCAAGCCTTAATTGCGCTGAACAAGTGTTTGCCACTTTCTGATTGTTTTCAAATAAATGCTATGTTGAGTATTTTTCTTTGTTTACTTTGTTTCCCGCCACTCGGCCCTGCTGTGTGAAGTCGTGACGAGACGTTGGTAATTAATTCATCAGGGTTTTTAGATCGCTTTTGTCAGTTGAGCTAGTTACTTATCTCTTTCCGCTATGGAGGAAAGCTTTTTTAAGTACTTTTTTCGTTAGCTTTCCTGTTCATTTTCATTTTTCCTGTGCAGGTCCTTGGAGAGAAGTCATTTTGAAGTCGGAAAACATGTTTTGAGAAGAGCGATGATATCTAAATTCACACTTGCGTTGATTGAGGCTAGTTTTTCACTGTATATTTGAAAATGTTGTAATTGAAAATGTAAATAGATATGTGGCAAAACAATTCAATGATGAACAAATTACGAAGTGTGATAGGTCTGATAGTATTTTTATGCTTGTATGGTTCTGAGAAGCTTTACCTTAGAAGTAAGATAAAGTGGCTAGTGGTTTTGTCGTGTCTCAGTTTGTCTGAAATTGTTATCGGCCCGATGAAGCATTAAGCTATGTCAGTTTCTGAATGTTTTCATGTGTTGTGCTTCGATGAGCCGCCAAAGTATTGTACTCAGGCGTTTATATGGCGACCGAAACAAACAAGTCCTAATGTGTTGTTCCGAGGTGATGAAGTATATCCGACATGAAGAAAAAAATTCCTGTGCACATGTTTTGAAAATGACCTTTACACGCTGCGTTTATAATGAGTCATGTGTTTTATACAGCTGCTGACACGTCGGCCGGCAAAGCCTTCACCATGCGAAAAAAATTTCCTGCGCGCATGTTTTGACAATAATCTTTACACGCTGCGTTTATAATCAGTCGTGTTTTATACAACTGCTGACACGTCGGCCGGCAAAGCCTTCACCATGCTCAATTTATTTGTTGGAATTTTCTCGGATTATGGCTGCTAAAACACTCAGAAATTTGTCAGATCACTTACAGACAATGACATACAAACTTTCTTAGAAGGGGAAGAAAACCAAAAGGAGAAAAGCTGGGGTAAAACAAAAACTACAGCTACATATAAGTCACGAAGATCGAGTCGATTTGGTGGAAATACAAAACGTGCTTCTTCTGGCCCGTTATTGAAAATTCTCCACAAAATGCCCACAGTGCAAGACTTTCTTGTTCTTTTAGTTGTTGTTCTTCAGTTGATGATCCTCTATTTCTTGATGGAAATAAACAGAGCTGTGCGGCATAGGGCAACGGCAGACAAGGCGTGCAGTAAGACCGGAGTTCATAAGAAATGCCGGAGGGAAGAAGAAGAGAGAACGAAAACCATTGCGTTCCGCTAAAAAGAAATCGTCCCACAGAGAACGAGGGCTAAAAAAAACAGGGTAGGCTTTTTAAGAACCTTTTTCTGTATTAGTTAGATAAGTTATTAAAATACATTAACAATTTTTAACAAACTACAAAAACTGTTGTAAAATATTTTTGACGACGTTTCGACGTTACGACGTCATTGTCAGGTCAAGAGTAATATTAAACTGAATTGAATTGTGCAATCAAATGTCTCTATAAATCTGTTCTTATACGCAGTTAGATAAGTTTTCAGAACTCAATTTCATGTGAAGATCGTACAAATTTCCTAAAGATTTGTTCGCTTTATGTTCAGCCACTATTCAGTCGCCTTGAAAATTCAACTGCCAACCTACTCCGATTTTCCGATCAAGTTTTGCCCGTTCCGTTGCTGTTATAAAATTATATTGTCCCTACTTCTCAATCAATGGAAAAAGCAAATACATGATAATGAAATGCTCGCGAGGTTTTGAGCATCACATGTCACGCAAAGGTTGAAATATTCACTTTCAGTATAAATTTTTATTAAAACTATAATGCTGATAAGGAAAAAATTGCTAGAAATGTTGTTTTCAGCTTTTTCAAACCCTTTGTTCCTCTTTGTTAATGCATCCCCTGCTGTTTTGTATCGAGGCGATAAAACTTCAATGAAATATGAATGTTCCATGAATACTTAATTGCTTAAAAGGTGTTGCATAAAGATGCTATTTGTCTTGCAATGAGGGTAGACACTGCAATTTGAATTGACATTTCCACTGTGTGCCGATTATTGCTTACGGCGAAAAAAAGAGTTAACAGATTATCCGCTCTGGTGGACTAGCGACTCATACCCAAATCTCAACGTTTCATACTTGACAGAATGCGAGTTCGTGGCCACATTTTGTGCGAGCGATCGTTCAGCGCCATGTTGATTTGTTGAAAGAAAGTTGGGGCGAGTGTTAAAACTTGAATCATAAAGTAAATTCAGTTCAAAATCCATTTAAATCTTCATCCTCAGCGTCACTATTAAATAATAAGTCCATTAATCGTGCATCGAGTACAGGATCCAGAATTGCGGCAGATGTTACTTGTTTCGTCGTCACTGATGTCGGATGTTTGAGATGCATCATTGTCGGTGCCACGTGTAATTCCTGCTTTTCCAAAACCGTTTTTGATGGACGAAACTTTTACTGCTTTCCAAGCTTGCACAACCCCGTCGCAGACTTCGGCATGGGTGGCCTTCCTCATTGTTCCTGTTTCAGTAAAGGTATGGATTTGAAGGAACTGTTCACAGAAATGTCTGACGGTTGTGACTTTTTTGTAAGGCTTCTAGGAATCACTGCGGTGGTTGTTTTGTGCTCAGTTCTGTAAGTGTTTCGAATGCCTTCATCGATGTGTGCGTTGAAAGTGTCGAAGATAAGTAGCGAAGTTCTATTGAAGAAGGACACTGGTCTGGCACGCCAAACTTTCTCACCCCAGACAGCCATTCCGTCTCTAAGAACTCAATTTGAAAACAAGAAAACCGCTTAAAAATGGCAAAATGCAAGTGAACGAGGTATTTATTTATTTATTGATTAGTTTTTATTTTAAATCGGATTGATTAACAAGCTGGCAGGAATTTTTTTGATCAGTCACTCAGTGTAGAGAGGCAAAACCAAAACAATCCTAGAGTACTTTCCACTGAGTTTTCCAAACCAATCACAGAGTAGAGGAACTCAAAACCAATTGTAAACAATCCTTGGTTGATCTTGGGAACTATTATTTGAAAATTGCTTTGCTCAGATATTACATCCAAACTTTAACCTGCCCATCCCACCCACAGGTTGCCACCCAGCTGGGTAGGGTGGGGTGGTAGGCAACATCTGTGCATGGAGCAGAGTGAGCCTCTATTGTCCTCATCACACGAGCTGTGCTGTGATCATAGAAAAAAATTTTCCCATCTGCTGAGCCAGAACAAATTATTTTTCCATCAGGACTGAAATCACATCCAATATGATAACCACAAACCTAAAAGTAACAAATTAAAGATTAATAATAATTGATCTAAAATCCCACACCATAATCCCCTTGTCTGCCAAATTCTGTCTGACAACTTCAGCAGCAGAAACAAATTCTTCTGCTCATGGTAGACATGTGATATCCTGTACTTGACCAAATAGAGCTGAGTATGTTGTTGCAATCTACCAAAAAAAAGACATTCCCAATGAAAATTCTATCCAATTACTATCCTACTGTGGTTAAATGACAAAAACATTATTATTTAGTTTGTGTGGCTGGCATTTTTTTGTGACCTGGCCATTTTTATTTGTGTAAGTGCTCAAAAAATCACTAGCTCTGAATTAGCTATACTGTAGTTTACAATCTGTTTCATCCATGTCCAAGAAATATATGTAAAACAATGTTCACCTTGTAACAGCTTTCACATCAGTTGATAGGAGTTAATCATTCATGCCTGTAATGGGGGTGCTGTCTTAGGATCCACTGCACTAGTGACAAAGCTACAAAACATAAGCCTGCATCTAGGAGCCTGGAAAATACTGAACCAATCAATCAGCCTTCACTATCATATCACATCTCTTTTTTATCACAAACAGGAAAAAATGCAACACATCTTAAGAAATTTTGCAGACTTTGTTGGATCTTAAAACTCTGCCTTCATTCTAATGTAAAAGGAACTTCTCAAGGCAGAAAAAGTTATCATTATTCTCACAAGAATTCATTTTTACATGAAGATTTTATGACATCAGTCCAATAATTGCGCACTTACACTTCCAGTCCTCTTGTCCCACAAGACACAGAATGGAAGATTTAAAAGTCCCAGCTAAGAACAGGGTGGGATCACTGGGATGAAACTGGACACACGTCACATAGTTTCTATGTGGAAACACTTTGATTTCCTTTCCTGTCAAAATAAGAAGCAACATAAATCAATAAATTTTTAAGCATCTAATTTAATCACAGACATGCTTTGTAGCACTAAACATAGGAATATAGAATGCACACCAAATCAATGAATTCTTAGCCTAAATAACTAACAATGACAATACACTACCAAACTGATAACATTAACCCCTTGAAATGCACAAAGAATAGGGGCAGTGGCAGGGAGGGGGAAGCTCCAGCTCTCCATGCAAATATTTATTGGGGTGCTCAGCCCTCAATGTTTCAGGTTCCACAGTATTGCTAGTGCAGTAAAGCATAAGTTTGGCAAAATATTCAGTCATGTAATCTTTTCATATTGTTTCATCAAGATTATGCTTAGCAAAATTATATCTGGTACTAAGCCTTTTTACCTTTGAATAGCAACTGCCACAGTGTTTCAAGAAGCAGACACAACTGGAAGAACAGTTTGTACCTGGCTTAACCCTTTAACTCCTAAGAGTGACTAACATCAATTTTCTCCTTACCACTGTACAACTGTATATCAACCCTGAATCAAACATTAAGGTCATGAGAATAAATGAAATGATCACCTACTAAAGAAACTCTACATTGCTAACCAAATTCTCTTTGTGAGCACCTTAGGAAACATACAGAGAACAGTATGGAGAATATACATACTGATGTTAGGGTGTAAAGGGTTAATATACGGGATGTCAGTTTCCCCCACCCACCCTCAATCACACACTCAAAAACTTTAATGTGCCAAACCACACCTGAGTATACAAGATAACACTCTCCACCTAGTTATGTTTCCCTCATCTTATCACCTGTCTCTTGCTTAATATTTTCATAATGTAGAGCAAAGTTGTACATTTACAACTTTGTTTATACACTCACAATAAATGTTTCAAATACCTGTTTTCATGTCAAACAGTCTTGCAGTTTTGTCATAACCACAACTCAACATTTGTGACCCACAGTGACTGCATTTGGCATCTTTGACTGCGTATGTCCCAAACACAAACTTTATGATCCATCAATGCAGACAACAACAAATGATTATTACTCTCTGTAACATTCCATCTGATGCAGTTGACACCCTGTGTGTGACCTTTAAGATTTAAATGCAACTCCTTTGATGGTCTGCATACCTGATCTGTGTCCTCGCGGTTTGGAAATTCAGCTTCATCTGAGTGATAATTTGCTCCTTTCAAGGAGCCATTTCTCGAGGTTAAATCGATGTCTTGTAACGGCTGATTTGCCATAAGGGATAAGGATGTTGCTTGAGCCAATTTATCTCTTTGTCTCTTAGACACGTAAGGTTTGACGTTTGGTCCTGAACTTATCAAAGATGACATCGTTTTCTGGTTACCTGAACTGAACAATGCTGGAGATTTCGCTTTTTTCTCAGTACTTGTCCGGAAATAACCACGCGCAGAGGTTTTATGTTAATCATCAATTAAGAGTCCAGAAAAATCATTTTGAGTACTCACAGATGAATTGCAGGTGTTTGGAATCTGTTTTAATCCAGTTGGTTTATTTGAAAATAATCTACATTACTCTCCATGCTTGACAGGAGATTCTAACTTTCCATTCTCGGTTTTTCTATTGCTCCCCGCGTAAATTATGATTTTATCAGATTCCGTAACCTTTAGTTTCTTGTTCGGGGACTCATCGCTCTCTTCAGATGATGAACCACTATTGTATGCAAGTCGACCTTCCATACTTCACCGGAATATTTAAGGAATATAGTTAATACGGTGCAAAACAATCCGCCATTTTGATTACACAAACTCATCCCCAGGATCTCTCGGAAAAATAATTCAAGATGGCGGAACCCGGAAGTAAACTACCCGGAAGTAAAAGAGCAAGAGCGGTCGTCTGTAAAAATCGAGCAGAGTTGTTGAAAATAAAAAAAATTGAAATTTTTTCAAACTTTGCCAGAATATAGGTATGAATGGCCTTAGTTGCGAATATGGCCGTTGTAACAACATAAACCAGTAATTTGCATATACCAGACTATCGAAAATTGCCCACATTGCCTTGACTTTTTGGCTTAAGGAGAAAATTATATTTATATTGAATATGAAAGAGACCTGTTTCGAAGTTTTTGTATGATATAAGAGGGAATTCGAGTGTTTTGGTAATGTTTTTCTTAATGTGACGTGCAAGTCACGTTGGTCACGTAACGCACTTCTTGAGCTCAAACACGCTCATATAAATCGCTCTAAAAATTCGTAGTTTAAGTAGCCCAAAAATTTTATTGCGGTTTCTAAAAGAAGAATCCTTGTTCTTGGCAATGGTTATATTGTCTCAGTTTATGGAGCCATGTAACAATGGCCGATTTTAGTCGCCAAAGTTGAGCTATGTTTCGATGGATGGAATTTTACCTGAATTAGAAAATTCGTACAAAAATCGTTTTTTAAGGAATCTTAGAAAAAATACTTCAGAACCCTTGAAAAACATCTCTTATTTTAGAATTTTTATGTGGTTTCCAAATGGATGGCGAAATAAATTTTTTTCGGGAAAACACGGTTATGAACCCCCAAAACATAAAATGCCACCGTTCTCCCAAAATAATTTTTGTTCGGCATTTTTGATATTTTTCCGTAACTAAGGCCATTCATAGCTATGTCTTGGAAAAGTTTCTTTCTTTCTTCAATTTATTAGTTTCTTTTTCTTATCTCCTTATTTGAAACTGGAGTAATACTCTCCAGAAAATTGCTTTGTAAACCAGTAAACATTATTGAATAATGATATCTACTCTATTTCAGGCTGCCGTTACCGCTAAAAATTTATGCAAAGTGAATGATCTAGAATAAACACAATTGGTCTTATCTGCTTCTTTCCACCTTAAACCTTTCCGCACTGGTGAAAAAGTTTTTTTATTGAGAAATTTGTTCTGGGTGAAAACTAGACAAAATTGTCACGTTAGTAATTATATCCAATTCATGGTCGAAACAAAACTTCAGCTATTCTTACTGACAACGAGCTTAAAAACGTTCAAATGACCTGTAACCACACGCATGTTTTCATGTTCTTTAATTAGAAAATCATAAAGACAAACCGTCTAGGCTTGTAATCAAATATATTGATGACCGATCCAAACTCATACTATGACTAAATTTTTTTAATGCCTTTAAAACGATTTCGAAGCTTTTTTGCGTAGAAGTGGTCCTTTTTATAAGATCGTGTTGCTAATTGATTTGCGACTCCCAATATATAAACAAGCTAATTTAAAACGATAAACGAGATTGTCCGAACGTTTTATGTTTGTTCAACACACAAGTGGTTTTAAATGGTTTCACCCACATTTGCTTAGAAAAAGCTCATGTGAATAAACCAACAATTACTTTAATTACCTCAGGGGTTTTTCCTATCTATCCATTCAAAATTGTAAACCAAAACAAGAGATTCTTTTAATTAGACTGGTTTCGCCGGGAGACATCCAGACCAGCATTTGCATGACTCCAGCTGCTAATTTTCTTTTAAAGTAAATTATATCAGTGTCGAACTGGTTCTTTATTTATTTCAATGTTTGTATCGTATTCTTGAGTGGAAATAATTTTGCTTAGGGTTAGGAAAAAAAAACCCATTCGGAACCACCTCAACCAACTCCTCAATGAAAGCATATTTCTGGCAAATTACGAGAAAATAGACTAAATGAAGCTTTGGCTGCGAACTAGTCATGATAAAAGTCACCGCCTCTGAAGTGATGCGTTTTTTTTCATGTCGCTCTCCAAGGGGAGTTTAAGAGCTGGGCTATTGTTCGAATAATAGCGACTTTTCTATTGGATGCTACCATCTGCTGCCTGAATTCAAGCAGCAGTTGGCAGTATCCAATAGAAAAAATGTCTAGTTGACCGATATAAATTAATAAAAATTGGCTCTCGTTACCTGCAATCTCATCGGAATACAAAATGTAAAACTGTCAATGTATGTGAATATATTCTTCTCTGTGGACTATATAATGCTTAAAATTCAATTACAATTAATGGCGTTCCTGAATCAAAGTGCACCTGCTCTTCCTGCACCTGCAAACGCTTTTTTCATTTATTATTAATTTATTCTCCAAAATTGACACATGATATTTACAGGTCTGCAAAAAAATTACGATGCACCAGATTGTAAACATTAAATACACAACCATTAAGGGAAAATTACAGCAATCCTTTCTCCAAATAATAATCTACCCCCACAAGTGCAAGAGAAAAGCGCGTTTACACCTCAAGATAAATGAACTGACTCTTGAAAGCGAGAAAATGTTAAACAGTCTGAAGAACAGGTTGAAGCCATCCAAAAAGAATCAAAATCTCGTCAGCGAGGTCCATTGATCCTTAAAAAGATAGTTTCTCATCATGCGTTATTAACCAGAAAAAATACTGTTACTGAAATGATAGTGTATAGAACAAACATCAGATGATGTTTACCTCGGCTGTTATCATGCCATGCATCAAATCTTCCTCTGTTTTCAGAATAAATTAAGCAAGTAAAAAACTGTGTCAGTCTTGAGGTTTGTCAGTGGCACAATTTTCCTCACTGTAGTTTTCGTTCTCCTGTCGTTAGCCCCTCTGACTGTGTCTGTTTACTCCTGGATTGTGTTGATCAAGCACCTCGGGTTCCCTTTCACGTACAGCTTCGTAGATTTCGTTCAAGACATAGCAGACCATCAGCAGTAAAATGGTACCGTATAAGTATAAAAGGTCCTGAGGTGTAAGTAGCGTGTTTGTTGAAGACATTTCCTCTAACCGTAACGGTTGACTTATATTACATAGGCTTTAGGATGAGCATGCGACAACTGGTGCTCAGAGAAATTTCTGACTCATCAAGAAATTTTAATCATTAATAAAAAAGTTCGTTTAGAAAAAAAAACAAACACATGGCCAATCAGTGACTCCAATGTCACCATCGCAGCAAGAATCTTTACCAAATATAGAGACTACGTTGTGGCCTTAAGCAAGCCGCTTCACTCACCTTGCTTCGTCTTCTCGGATAAGACGTTAAGCCGGAGGTCCATTTCACGTTCTACCTGCAGGGTTTGGGGTGAGCTCTAATGTCTCTTAATTTTGTTATTTCCGTTTCACCAAGGAAGAGCGATCCAGCTAAAGGCTATTCTTCAATAATTCAATTTTATTTTTACAGGGCTCCTGAGTAATTTCATTAACACGGAGAAACATTATTTATCGGTCACTTGGCTGAACTTAAATTAGTAATTTGAGCCACCAAGAAGGGAAGGAAACCCCTTTTAATGAAAAATTCATAGAGCACAAAATGACGACATTTTATTTCATTGAACGACCGATTACCTTTTCACATACACAGCACTTGAATTAGAAGAAGAATCGATGATGTAAGAAATATGAGTTTTGAACCTCACGATACGGCGCTAACTCTTGCAATAAAAAAATCTCAATCAGCCTGTGAAAGCCAGTTACAACCATTTTTATATCAAGTACTAAAAGGCGGACAACAAGCTAAGTTGAAACTTCAACTGAACCGAAGGGATATAAATCTTTATTATACGCCATTTAAGGCATGTAAAAGATTCAATTTATTTTTCGTCTTTCGATATACGATTCTTGAATTTCTGAGCGTATATCAGTTAACCTGCCGAAATTTTAGTGTATTCAGTAATCATTGTCTACGAGACATCAGACTTTTTTGTTAGAAACCAAACAGTTGAAACAATTGAACACAAAAGATGTAAAGATTATACGTTTTGTTATCACTAACTTTCTAAAGACAACATTTTGTTTAGTCTATAAAATTGAAAGAAACCTTTATTAAATCCCTGGATTCATGCAACGTTTTTCTTCATAGAAACAATTAAATAGCAGAATACTGCAGTAGTAGACATGGCTGTCTGTATAAATTATCTGGAGCGCACGTTAGCGAGAGGAAAACACCATATGCTGAGCTAAAATTATTTCCTCTCAACATCGTAATACCGGCAAAAATCGAAGCAAATCGAGAA